TGGTCAGTTTGACATAAGATGTATGTGTGTGTATATTTTATAAATTGGAGTGATTTTATTGTTTGCCCGCAGTACGATAAATATTGGATTCCTGTACATTTGGACAGTGGATGGTAGTTGTGTTTGTGCGATATGATGGTATGAGGGTGGGGGACTGTGTTTGTAAACACACTACGAGCTTCTGTTAGCTTGATAGATCTATTTGGTTACTGTTTTGCTTGGTCTTCAGTTTCATATATCATTTAGTCCCATAGTTTTGCATGCCAGAACAGTGGCCGGCTGCGGTGGATAGGACATAGGGGTTAATCCACCGGATTAGCTTAATAGAGATCAAATGAACACCAATTCGTATTGACTCTAAGTGCAGGAGTGTGAGGTTAGGAAAGCGTTCTTGAGTGAGGAGTTTCGCCCCAATAAAACATAAAGTTATTGTCTTGCGACCTGGGTAGCATCCCAATCCCACCTGTCCTACGCGACAACCTGTTACGTCACAGGAGCGGGCCGGCCCTGTACCATATTTTACCTATCTCGTATCTTTTTCGCTCAGGCCGCTGTCCGGGACACTATAGTTTCTGGTTATCAGATAAAATCCAGCGCCGCTGTGTCCTCATACAGGCAAAGCAGAGGCGCTAAAAGAGGCAGCTGCCTATCGGGAGCGTCTGTCTTATTGGCGATTGAACCTCAACTATGACCATCAGAAAAAAGAAGAAAAAATAAAGTGTAACATGGACAGGGCCGGAATCATATGTTGTGATATCTTTCATTAGAATATTAGTGACAAGCTCTCAATCTCTAACCTTTTTGCCAAATATTTAGGAATGGTTAGTCATGACCTGTCACCCTCCCAAAATTTTCCCACATATGTCATATATTTCAGGGGAGCATCACTGGTATGCATTTTTTTACTAATAGTGTCTGGTGGGAGGACGAGTAGCTCTTCCCTCTAGGCCTATCCCACACAGAAGGTGCGCACTCCTGTGCGCGCAGTTTGTATCTATGTATTATTTCTGATAATTTATACAAAAGCCAGTATTGAGCGGAAGTTAGTGGCGATTTTGTTCCCTTGTACTAGTGATCTTTGTACATCAACATTTCTACCGATCATTCCATGATGATGTTTCCTATTTGACGCCACTCCCTTGAGGATACGATCAACATCTGCTGGCTTTGCCTTGTTGGTGAGTACTCTGTTTTATAGGTTGCCAATCAAGTTTCTGAAAAAAATTGGACAAATTACCTGTGCGCACTATTGGTAGCAGGACATTATCAAAACTAATGCAAGCCATGATTACACTTTCCTACACCATTCGAAATCGGACACAAAATCCACATTGGAAGTAAGTTAGAAACATTATCCATTTCTCTTTTACAAGAAATAGCTCGAAACACATATAACTGTAACATCCCTTCTGTGCTTCCACGAGAGGCAATACCTTGTCCCCATTTCTGGCGTCTCGCAACATACCACACCAACCACAACAAACTAACTCATCTTCCATAAACCAAGAAACAACCCTTTTTTAACTGGCTAAATCAACCAATTGTTATATAACATTTTAATGTTTTTTCCAAACATTAGTTACTCTCTCCTTCTCCCCAATGGGCTTCTAAGAAGTGGGTCCTAATTACTTGCACGTTTGGGATAGCGGAAACTGTTCACACAAATCTCTCATCATCCAAATAGCATGCTGAACTTTCAACTCGTCTGGATCCCGACATCTCATAAAAGGCATGGGGCCCGCTGGGGTGCGGTGCGGCAAGGGCTCTGCATTGCGACACACCACTAGGGGAAAGGAGGCAGCGCGAGCACTACACACATTCAACCACACACCACAATAGTATTTAAATGACCACTTAGCGAATTCACCACAAACTCTACTTGCACCTATATTTACGTCTAGAATCATCTTGTTGTTACAGGATCATGACCAAAAGGAGTCTTACTTGAAAGATACCTGTCTTATTCTTATTCATATGTGAAACACTCCTAATTATAGAAGAATACTTTTGAAAAACGATGGAGATAAGCTATTACTGAGACACACTATCGCTTACATGTTTTGCTTTTCCGTGCAATATACTACATTTATGGCACATATATTGGAGGAACTTTGGTTCATTGTTCCGAGGCTATACAGAACCACCAGAATTCATACAACTAAAATCCATCAAATTATGAGGGCTGGTCCTATGTTGGGTTTCTAGATTAGCTGTGTATTATTGAATTGCAGATGGGGATAGCGGAGCCCACATGATAAGGGGTTCATATAGTAGCATTGTTACTTCCCAGCATTCTGGACGGTTTCTATGAATGGGTTATGCTGCATGTATAAACTATGGCTATTATGGAAAATCACTGATCTGATCTTCATGGTTATTACTGAGAGGGGCCATTTTTCTTCACACGCACCTAGGAGCCTACGCATCGTAAATTTGCCTACGGGGTTCTCTACAGTTTGCTAGCTGCGGTTCGAACCAAAATGCCCGCCATCTACACTAGCCGTTTATTCTTCATTGTCATCACTTCCAACCTCCTCCAGGAATCCCTTCATATTTTTTTTTCCTTCCCCTCCCTCCTTTGTGCCACAGCTGGTCCTTGGGTTGGAGTTTTAGGTATTCGACCGCTACCAGGAGGTTTAGTCACCATCACTACATGAGTCTTCTGGCCTGTTTCCCATACACAGGGTGCAAACATGTTACGTTCGTTGAAGTCAGTGGTCTGACTGAAACTAGTCCAACTACGCCTGATAGGCCTGCATGTTCATGTTCCAGGCTGCTGATCAGATTGCTCTTCTTCAACCCCATAGCCAAGCAGTGAATCAGAAATTGTGCTTAAACTCGTCTCTGTTGGGCATGTATTCTTGGTCTGCAGAGTCTTTATCATCTCCCTACCAGAAAAATATATGGAGGATCTAAGAATTAATAAAATTAAAACTAATACTTGATATTAAAAAAACATGCAACTTTTGTGCATTCAGGTAGCAGTGAATTAGCCTTTCGGGCAATAATACTCAATTGTCCCGTCTAGCGTACTGCTGCTTCGCTTACTCACTTGTGCGCTAAACTGTATGTAATCATAACACCCGCGACAGTACCTGCAAATGAACTGTCATGCGGCTGGCCAAATGTTCTGCATAATGAAGGTAGTTCCTCCTTCTGACGAAATGGAAACTTTACAAGGTTCAGTGAGGCGTATGTCCGCTTTCGCTTGAAATATTAACCAAACACTTTAAGCACTCTCTCTCAAACGCCTATTGTTTGTGCTTCTGAACCAAAAAACAAACGCAGCGCGTGTGTGATCTGTCATGACGCATTTTGCAACAGCGGAACCAATTAAGCTAATCGCTTAAGCAGCGCAAACACTGTCTCTTACCCATGTTCATCCGCTAGCACTATTCCGACATCACCAATATTAATGAACCCCCTCCAGGTCAAGAGTTTGTTTAAGGTCTATGATGGCTCTTTCTTCCACTCTGCCTCCCCTTTTACCGCTCATGATTTTGATATTTGACATCAAGTTAAAAAAATCTGTTTCACTAAATATTACTTTTAATTCGGACTGTAGGTTTTGTGCCTTGTAAGCGAAAAAAAAGATCTGAGAGTATAATAATCGAAGATTAATTTGACTAAGTCGACTGCGCGTCACAGTATATGGTGAGAAATGTTATAGTATCTTAATCCTGCACTTCTTTAAGTAGTACTGAATGCCCTTTTTTCGACCTTCATGGCATGAACCAATATTCCCCTAGGCTGTACTATCCTCCTCTCCTTCACAAACAATTATCTTAAAATCCTAAGTGCAAAAATTTGTTTATTCACAAGAGGGCTAATACAAATTTTACAAAATGATATCAGATAAAATCGTAACCACTAAACTACCAATTTCAAGATCCAATCTCTAAACTCTCCTCCAACAAAAGCAAAGTATACTTCATACTATAATCGTAGCTGTTGATATGCTTAACGATTTTGTCTGAAACTCTTGACTTTCCATCTGTATGAAGAAGGGGTGCCTCAATATTCGCAGCTTAACCTCCAAACTGGGCCAGTCCTAAAAAGTAAAATCTTCTAATTTGTTTCCAAATGGTTCTTAAGTAAAAATATATTACAAGTGGAATCTGTTTGTTTCGATTAAATATATTATAAATTAGATTAACATGTTAAGACGAGGCCCCCTTACTCTACCCATATTCTCTGTTTACCTTATAATCTGCATGAGTAGACACTGTGGGTTGCTGTGAACCTGCCACCCTCCACTTCTTTCCACTACGTCCGAACTTACATCACACACTGACACTACACACACACAGAGAAGTCTTCTTACCAGATACTAACTAACTGTGTTTTTCATAAGATCCATAGATAAATGACTTTTGAACTTTTTACTTTGAAAGTAGGCATCCACTTTTTGTATTGTGTTTTCTTGTTTGTGGGGGGCGAAACTTTATTTTGTAGTACTCTCAAACTTTATCATTTCAATAACGACCAGTGCTATGGATTAGAGAATCTACACACGGCAGCTGCCAACCAGTACAAAACTCTTGACTTACACCAAACAAGAAACATAACAATACATACACAACAAAAGTGAACTCTTTGTTTGTCCATTCGCGCCACGCGTAACGATACCCCGCCGTGAGGCCGCACCAGGTTTCTACAACCCACCTCAGAATCAATCTTCTCTCAGAAAGCTTGTGTTCTTTTCGACATTTCCAACCTGCCGTCTTGAGACCTTCCTAGGATATTACGGTAACCTGCAAAAGTGTCTAAAATCAGAAAACTAGGCAGCTCAAATCCGTACACACCAGACCACCGTATGTGTTCCGTTGGCTGCGGGTGGCTGACACTTTCCAAGTTTCTATCGCACCGGTTAATGGAACACCGCTCCAGAATACATAGTTCATGGTACCGGACACTCCAAATGCAGCAGCGCGCGCACCTTGTACACGACACCAACTATACTTCAAGACAATACTACCGCCACAATAGCTCCGCCTAATTGAAATTGATCTTCATTCACTAAGAAATGTTATGTTCTTCTTCTTTAACGCGCAAACCGTCACAGATCACAATGAACCTTTATAAATTTCCATCGCGTTACGCGGTGTGGATGCCTCACACCAATCCACTCCTCCGGTCCCTTCTCTTGTGTGGACGGTCTTTAATCTTGTAATGCTAAAACAAGGCATTCACACTACATTCAAATACCTGCAACTTTCTCCAAACAAACGTCCATGAAACTTGAATACTTCTAACGACATGATTTCAGTGAGTTTGCAATGTCCAGAGGAATCGGCGATGTCTACGGCACGAGACGGATCATGTCAAAACATTTACCTCAGGGCTCTAAATCTACAAACATATTCAACAACAGTACCATATCCGTTCTACAACAAATTACTTACAATTTTTTGGCGCACACAACTTGCACGCAGACATCACTCATAACTATGATCAGAATTACAGGCGGTGTACGCGTCTGCAGCGTCATCATACAATAATAAATATTACTCCAACAACAATCCATACGTCACACGCAGAACATAAACTTGTCTTTTAATGCAAATAAAGCTTCGATAGATACAAACCTGAGACCCTGACCAGCTCAACCAAACAGCAGCCTCAGCCTGAGCCCAGCAGCCGCTGTTTGTCTCAGTCGTACCGTACAGTCAACAGGTAAGCTAACGTATTGATCATTTCGTCGTTGACAGTTCTCATACAGAGCCATACCGCAAAATGTAATATTCTGCTTTGGAATAAAAGTTATTTTGACAAAAGTGGTCCTGACTGAACTAATATTTGTGCTTCCTGCACAATACACACAAATCTTTTTGCATGTTGCAGCTACCCTCTACATGCATGCAGGTAGCACATACACATCTACATATCTGCTGTTACTGGAGACTCCAGCTCTGCACACTCTCCTTTTATACCCTCACCTCCCTCCTCCTGCACCTTTATATCCGCCCACTCCTGTCTCATCCAGTTAAACTCAAAGAAACTTAACAACCAAGTTGAACTCCATAGTCATCTTTTATAATGGTGAATGGTTGCCTGCTTTTGATGGAAATAATTAAACTACGGCAGGCTGGCAACAGAAAACCACATTAATCCACTGGCTTCAATTGCCTGATATACCTTTTAATATCCAAAGCATATTGGTTAAAGCATGCAGCTTTTTCTTGTCCAGTATTCTGTTTAAGTATAGCACCATTTATACCATTGCAGTTGTCCTGTGATCCCTCTAACACTCAACCTGGCAGCCAGACATAAGTCACTTGATGTAATCAAAAATGTTTTACAGGGCTTGAGTGAATATATATGAAGCCCTGAGATTTTTTTACATGCTTAGAAATATTATAAGGTCTGGCAATCGTTTAGTACTGCCCAGCAATAATGAATAAAACATTATTTATATGTTTATTTTACTGGAACACTAAGCACTACTGTTGTGTTATTGTGATTATTGTACAAAATATGTAAAAATCAAAAACATATTTGCATAACAACATTCAGCTTAAACAGACATGTAGTGTAGTTTTTTACTTCTCATATTTTATGTAATCAAATGTGTACATGAGAGTAATGTAAAACAAACGCAATTCAAAACACCTTTTTATTTTCTTCAGTTTCATTAATACAGACATTCAAAGAGTGTGCGTTTGACCAGCTGATCCATGCCCACACAAGTAGATCCGTGTTCTTCAGTCTGACACTCTGCTTCTGTGGGCCAGTACTCGACCCAGGTATTCTCACCAAGCATATACTGATACCTGAGGAAAGCAGAGACAAGAATACATTGGGTCTTCATGCTGCCAACAATTTGTTCATAGGCCATTGTTATAATCCATTGCACATATTTTTTGCATTACAAAAATCAAAAATATCATATATCACTAGTACAAATGTATGTTTTTGCTTCAGAGCAAAGACCTGTTTTGTACTAGTCACATCATGCGTTTGGTCGTGTGTTCCGTGTGTGTATCTGTCCGCAGCGAATCTCACATACTAAAGGACCCGTCAGCCTAATATTTTTTTTGCACATTTATGACTCTATGCTCAAAGACCTCTTGTGGTTGCAAAACCTATTTTATTGAATGCTCTGTTTTATATCTCACTCCCTTTAAACCAGCCGGTAGGGGCCACGGGTGATCGAGGCTCATTTGAGTCTTGATTTTAGCCTGTTGTAGGCCACATTTTAGCCTTTGTCATGGCTCCAGAACTCCATAGAAACGTTTGGTCTTATCTTAAATTGGAATAACTGCAGATTAATTCCAAACCCAATATGTTATGATCCACTAAAGTCACAATACCAGATGATGAAGATTTAACTATTTAAATAAAGCCCTCTGAATTGTTTGCTCCGTCTCAGATCTTTAATGTTCCACTCCTTTCCCATATCTGCCACCATGTGTATCTTTCTCTTTCTAAACTGAACTTCCTATAATATATCAGCACAGACTCCTTGCAGTTACAAGTCTCACATTTATTTTCATTTTTTTTTATTTTCATGGTGTATAAAGGGACTGACAAGATAGTAGGATTCAACTCTTGACTGACTGGGAGGGGAGACGAAGGTAGGGAGGGGTTTATTTCATGTGGTGTGTTACAAAACAAAATCTTTTAAAAAAATAACAACATATACAATTAAGAAATTTGGACTTTTTTGTTTTGAACTGTGAATTATATGACTGCACTAATACTGAAATTCTTACCAAATTTATGAACATTTATATTTCATCGGTTGAAATTGCCTCAACATGACCTCTACTAAATCATTGTGAACCTTGCAAGGCCAATGCTGACATATAGCCAACTATTTTGGACTGCTTTACATCATTACATATTACAAAAGAGTGTTAACGCCCTCTAATCAGAGGTAGGCGGCACCAACCTCCCTCAGCCCCTAACCTTGAGTAGAGTCTGTGGAACTGTACTAATTTTCAAATGTATGCTGCTCGAGATGCATCTTTTACAGTTTACACAATTTTTTATTACCCCTACACTCAGTATTATTCTGTTTTTAAGCACCACTGAACAGCATACTTTCCCTTCATGATGATTCCATGATAGACAGCAGGGCGAGAGCTGCATACTGACACTCTCACACAGAAACAAGCACACTGGAGGGCCACTCTGCCACCTGCTTAGCTACAATACAGCTAACTCACAGAACCTTTTACAAATAGGGGCCATGAATGTGTGTCTGCTTGGTGTCTCCTTATCTTTATGCGTGTTAGTGCTGCATTTTTTTAAATATGCTGGGAGAGAGGGATCTATCAGAATTTGGGTGTGCAGTTACACCTTAAGTTTACACAATTAGGGAAACACAGGATGCTTGGTTACAGTAAGACTAAGATTATTCTATGCATCATTTATGCAGAAAACTACTATACAATACAAAATAAGTTTTTTTCAGTGCACGTTTCTTGTGTCTTTAAGATGATTTGATCATCTCCCTATATTAATCAGGAACCACGTCAAATGAGACAAACTTGGTTTACTCAAGAACCCGTACCTGTATGAAGTGACTGAAAGCAGAAAAAACAGTAAAAAAAATGTCTGTAGATACATAGTACAATATTATGAGGGAGACGCACGCAAAGAACAAACTTACGACTGAGTCTGGTCGTCTTTGTGAATATCTTTGAATGCACCCATGATAAGGTAGGTTTTTCCAGTTCTCAAATCCAAAGCTTGTCTGCAGTGCGGATGACTGAGGAAAATGCACAGTTCACCCAGAAGACCCACATCATAAGTTCCTGTAATTAAAATATATAGTTAGAAAAAATAACACAAGAGAACATCAGTTATATAGGAGCATTACTGTTTATATGTTGCATTACTCACAAACACATTGCACATCAAGTCATGCATAAATGGTCAGCAACTTTTCTGCCTGTTTGGCATTATTCTGTCACTTTAAGAAACATTACTCTACGGAAAATTAAAAGTCAGAAAGGTCAAATTGTTAAAAGTCAGAAAAACGCCCCTTTTTTATGAGCGTTTTAACTTTCTGTAGTTATAAAACAACTACATGTGCAACATTTTTAAATTTCTGCCGTATTCCTGAACATCTCATGTATAAATGGCAAAGGACTTTTCTGTTTGTCTAGAAACACTATAGGGGAAAATTGAAAAGGGCCATAAAGGAAAAAAGAGATTCACACCCACCTTCTTTAATGACTTTCACTATCCGCGTTGTGTAAATGTCAGTGGACAAACCATCTGTAAAATTTTCCACTCTGACTTTGTACACTGTGAGGAGACAAGTTGCAGATTTTAGCTGACTTGCTTTCTTTCTCATTCACTCACTCACACAAACACACACACACTTACCAAAATCTATTCGGCTGGTCGTTGTGACCTCACTAGCCTTAGCTATACGATCATCTTTGTCGATGTTGCCCCTTTTCTGCATACTACAGTTCTCTGGAAATACACAGTAGGCACAAAGTAAACACACAACTGATGACTCAAAAGAGCACAAGCATGTCCGTAGGCCTGTGTGTAATTTCAGACGCCAAAGCACAGTGTCTTTACACATGACCGTTCGCTGAGTTTACCTTCATTAAATCGTCATAGACATGTTCAATTGTGGGAATTTCTGAGGGCACTAAGCAGTACATAAATCTTACACTGAGCCTTTGGACATTTAAATAATGGCAGAGGTTAAATGCAAACTACATGATAGGCATATCCCAGTGAGCACAGTAGTAGTTTTGGGCATTAAGTTGCATGCCACCAAGAAGGCCCTGCAGTGGGTATCAGGCTGTGCTATGAAATCTACAGAGGCCTTTGACGCTATTCTCTAGCCCTGACCTAACATGCAATTGAAGGGGATTTAAATCCTGCACCCACTAAAGCAAAGATCCTGCTCAATAGTCAATCAGTCACCCCAGCTCTTCTACCTCCACCTTACAGGCAACATTATGCAACTATTATACCTTAAAATAATTCCTTCAGAATAATTTCTTTTATGCAACACTGACATTTAATAGGGAGATATAGGGAGAATGGCGCCTTTTTCATTCCTACTCCGCACCCTTAACGCCTGTTCTCTATGTGACTTGGGAGTGGGTATGATCTCCTGCGTGGAGTGCATAACGCTTTACAGCATTACGTCACACACCACCTTTGAATTTATTCGTTTATAGGACGCACTGCCAATCCCGCCACCAAGTATTTAACTAAAGTGAAATAAAAGGGCAATTCAGTCAGATTACAGGGAAGGATGTGTTTCTTATACATTGTTTAAAGTATTGCTTTGTTGAATTAGTTTCACTTATGTTAAAAGGTCTAGTGTGTAACATTTAGGAGGCTCTATTGGCAGAAATAGAATAGAATATCCCAAAGTAGGCTTTCATTAGTTTATAATCAGCTGAATATAGAAATTCTTATGTTTTTGTTACTTTGGAATTAACTGTTTTTATCTAGAGATGCTACAAGTCGCCTTCCGTGGCCAGAAGGGACAAACTAAACACTCCTGAGTGTGAGTATGAGTTACAGTCTACCACTACACCGCTAGATGCTACACACTGGACCTTTAAAAGGAGGTAAGAGGTGTTTTTTGACAGTTTTTGAAATAATAATGATAATAATCAAATGTATTCCTAAAATATTTAGCGACTGACGCGTGACCCTACATTCAAGATGTCATACCCAGCCCCAGGTCTCCTCTAACCTGAGAACTGTTGATTTTAATTTGGCTGATTTCTTGTTCCACTTAAAAAGAAGCAAGGTATGAAATAAAAAAAATAGGTTACAGATTTTTAAACAGAACCAACCAGAACCTCAATGTAATGTTGCTGTTGTTTTTCAGTGAGTCCCATCAAGAGTTTCCGATTTAACACATTTATATGTAGACAGTTTAGGTCATCTTGTTTTACCTTCAGCACATCTGCATACATCATTTCTACAGAGCTGCAGAAGCTGTCCAGATGTCCTCTCTGGGTGGTAGAACTTTACACAAGGTGTTGCTGCAACAAGAAAGAAAGATATTTGAAAAATATATTGTGATGGTTGATCATAGCATCACAGTATATCAGCAAATGTACATTAAATATCTTAAATGTGTCTAAATGTATCCTATGACATGTCCTTTAGGGAATTATTGAATGAATATATATATATGAACTGCTTTATATTGTATAAAAAACTTCTCCTTCAGTTTGTGAAGTCTCTGCAGCATCTGAAGGCATGGGCGGATATGTCAAGTTGTCTTAAGTGCCACGCCAGAGCGCAGTGTCTTTACACATGACCGTTCGCTGAGTTTACCTTCATTAAATCGGCTGAAAACAACAGCAGGCTGCTACAATACAACCATACAGAGCTTTACACACAGCAGAATGGTATCCAGATATCCAGTTACCAGGGCTTATCATAGCCTCATCCAACTTTCTGTTTTGGCAAACATAGCATCATGTTTTATCCATGAAACACAATGCAATGCAAACGCTGTTGTGTAACATTAATTACTGAACTATATGACCATGTACGAGGTGAGATACATGATAATTATTACTAAAGTAGCATCAGTCAAATAGGTTATAATAATACAAGCGGTTTCACCAAATCAGTGTTTTATTTTGATACAGTATTTAATGATCGCCACCTATGATCTATATCTAATAAAGTTTTTACCAAATTAGAAGGTGCGCATGGAGACACCCATACAGTCTGTGTGCCTATAAGACCACCTTGTGCTTGACATTATGGGTGCAAATTATTAAACTCAGGGTACAATGCATATTTGCACCCTCGTAGAACCGGGCCTGAATATATAATGACTGTAATTACATATTATTAAAAAAAAGATTATAAAAAAAAGATATCAAAAATCTGGTGGGGCATGTGCCCTTCCAGCTTGTATGGGCATGACTCAGCTGTCTTGAAGTAAAATCTGTACAGAATATTACACTAAATCTAAAATATAAGAGTTTCATATTAAATATATAATAATTTCCTAAACTGTATTCCATAGTATCCTTCTTTTGATTTATAATTATTTTTATTGATCACATTGGCAAACAATTCCCTGTTTGCCACATGAATATGTGACTGGGCAAACCAAAACATAACCATGGTGTTGGCAGATCAGAAAATATTCAAATGTTTTTGGAACAGTCCTTGTTGTTTTGAAGGCGACAGACAAAAAAATATTTCTTGGTTCAGGCATGATCAGTTGTTGATAAATGTCTGTCTGTGGTTGCACTTGTTTCTAAGTGTCTCTGAGACTCACGGTTATTGTATTCATAGACAGACACAGCAGCTGGTTGTAAGATGCCCACTCTCATCTGCTGATGGATCCTAAAAGTGATCTCCTCTGGTTGAGTGTGAGAAACCTGTGGAGAAATGTCAAACCAGGATACATTGCGTGTGTGAGAGAAACACAATTTAATTTCAGCTGTTTTTTTGCTATGACATACACAATAGCAGACCTTGAAATATCAGCATTAAGAATTCATCTTTGAATGTGCTTGTCAATAAAACTTTAATTAATTGAATAAAGTTGATAAAGTAACCTGAGAGAAAAAGGGGACGGAGCGAAGAAAGCCTTACCTTGTCCAGGTAGATGATGAGTGAGCGTCTTTCTGACAGGACTGTGTTCATCTCATATTTTGCAATGGTGCGGGCACGTCCCCTGGACAACTACACACACACACCCACACACAAACACAAGGTTTAAAAGTCAGTGTTACTGATTAGTACAAACACAACGAAGCCTGTCTATATCACATGTCCACCTTTCTGTCCCTCTCTATCTCCACTTCCCCAGGACCCCTCAGTGTCATTCTTTACCTGTCCACCAGATGCTCCCAGACTTTTCTCCATCCATTCCAGATCCTGCCACTTCCATTTTCCCTGCAATCACCTGAGCTTCCCTGCCCACTTCCCCACCTGCACCTCATTCTCTGATCAGCCACTCCTTACGTATACCAATCCACTGCCTTCATTCCTCTGTCTGTCCATCCAACTGTCCAAGTTTTGTCTGCCTACAGTAAGCTATTTCTGAAATAAATATTTTAAGTCAATCTGCTTTGTCTTCATTTCAGTCTAATCCTGTATTTCCTGAGCTGTAACAGTCTGACCCTGTTGTGTATGTTTGTGTGTATATAAGCTCTTACTAAGTTCAGGTCATTTGTGTTAGCAGTGAAGCCAGTTAAGAAGCCAATATCCAAAACTGACATGGTTGCATCGTGCCTATTGTCCTTAAACCTGTACAGAAAATGGACAGAATATGGGTGAGAAGAAGAAAGCAAAGCCAAACCCTTTATGGAAGCAGAGAGCAGCAAAATGCAACAATTTGGGGCACAAGGGTATGAATCGAAAATAGAGTAGGGAGAAGTTAAATATAAGTAGTAGTATAAATATAAATCCATATTCCTGTTAAAACTCATTCATTGTACTTACATAACATCTATTCTCAACTTGTATATCTTCTCATCTTCATCCATTTTCTCTGCAGGAGCAAAATATTTGATGAACACTTTCTCACACAAGAAAAATACTTGGCAATAAAAGAAAAACAGACAAACAAACCATAAGAGACAGAGGACACCAAATTACCTGGGATGAGCTGCACTGACAAGTTAAACTTCTGACAGTCACTGTCCCTTTCTTTAGGCAGAGTGTAATACACCGACACCATCTGTCACATAGATGAAAGTACATCTTAAAACAGTGCCAACTGTCAGGACCTCAAAGAGGGCCTAAGATAAATTCAAAATCTAATTTTAAAAGATAATTTACTTATTGCTTAACATATATTTATATCCTAAAAAACATTCATTGTACAATATTTCTAAGGAAAAATGTACCTTCCTAACAACACTTAATGGTTAACTCCCACCCTTCAATTCATTATCCAATAGACTTGAAATCCTGTTCAACAAAATATCCCATAGATATTGTACACGTATTCTACTCTCTCTACTCTACTTTTGGTTATTTTCGTGACTCAACTTTGCTGAAAAATTTTAACTGGTTAAAAAAATAGTTTTGTTATACAGTATATATTTTTTTTAAATGTAAAACTTACGGTCAACGTTGCCTCTCCATGCCCCGTGGCTCTTACATTTACATCACTGTTTATAACGTTGGTCTGTTGAGATTTAAAATATATGTACACAAACACATACATACATATACAAAAGCAAAACAATTATTAGGGATACATAAGATTACAAGATCATTAGGAACAAAAAACACAAAACCTAGGCCTTTAAAGCTGATTTTATACATATATTTTATAGTATACAGTATTCATTAGCGCACTAACTGCGCTAATGAATATGTTAGACTGTCTGTCTAACATATTGTTCTTAGCTGTCTAAATTAGTTTATTAATGTCCATCACTGTACATCTGCCTACCACAGTATTTAAAATTTTATTTCATTGTAATATATTTCATTTTTTTTAATTTAAAATAAATAAATATTTTTCTGTTTCTGTTGTTGGACACCAAACCGGAACTGTCTCTGCTCTTGTATGTTGAACTTTAAAGAGGTACTACACCCTAAAAAGTGTATTTGAGCTATAAACTGAATTATATGACTGTACTGTGATGAAAAACTTCAAAATTGAACTTAACAAATTTATTAAAATTTGTAGTTTGTGGGTTAAAAATTTCTCAACACACACTCTACTGTTATAAATCATATCATATAGATGACAGCAACCATTACTTTCTTGTCTTCAGAACACCCACGCCCCCTTTTGAGTGAAACAAGCGCTGTAAAAGTGCCTAGTGGTACTATGCCTAGAAGGTGCATTTTGCACGTCAAAGGATTTCTTTACTTTCCTAATCAACAAAGGACAATAAAAGAAATTATCTGTGGCTTTAGGCAATCTGCAGACAGGGTAAAAATGTAAACCTGTGGGACTTGGACAGTCAATATGTGTCCATCTTTGGCAAATAGTTCATCACAGGTTAGTTAATGATGTTATTGAGTAAATGGCGTATGTTTGTGTGTTTTAACTGTAGATTTAAGTGAATCAGTACAGAGTCTCAGTGATGGTGTAAATAAAGTTTTTACTGTGATAAAATATGGCCCTACCATAAAACACCCGCTGTTGAAATGGAGTTTGGTCAAACGATCTGGAGCAGTCTGGAGGGTATTGTAATCTTAATAATTCACATAAACTGAGCTGATTTACCTTCTAATGAACCTTGTAAACAGCATAAAGTAATATAGAATGTGGAGATAGAACCGACA